AAACATGTCATGTCTCTGGCTTCTCAAAGAACTACTGCTGGAACACCAGTGCTGGAAGTGGAGGTGATGTATTATGTATTAAGGTGCCTCACTAGGACTGGTAGGAAACTGTCCTTACGGAATATTAATAATCTCATTTGTTTGCTTGTAAGGATCAGTCCTCAAAGGTAGAGGAGGATGTGCCCCTCTGATGTGCTGTTGTGTCTACATAATTTTGCTCATCCGACTTGGGCTGTCTTGGTGGCTGGTGTAGAGTTGTGTCACCGTTGGGATTTCGCTGAGAGCTGTTGGAGATAAACAGACCTCAACCAGTTAAGCTCTCTGAAGTCTGTGCTATAAGAACATCAGCTCTACAGTTCACTTGATTGAACTGTGCAAGGACACAATGTAAGATGAAATGAAGGCATTTCTCAGCCTGTGTGCGAAAGTAGGAGTTGGAGCTCTGCAGTGTATTATCTGCTGGCTTTTGTATTCAGCACGAGTAATAAGGCTTGGATAGCATACATTAGCACTCTGGTAACATAGCATTTGATTGCTGGCAGTTGCTTGACTTGTATGTTTTGGCTAAATCTTCACATAAAAAGATTTGCAGCGTTTTTGTCCTTTTCCCTTATCAATCAGCAGATGAATTGCGGAGCCAAGCACATCCAGGACTGTTCATCCAGTCAAAGCTGGCATAATCAAGGTTGTACTTGGAGGTGCGAAAAGCTGTGTTCTGCAAAGGCTAGACAGTGATTTGTCTGAAGCTGACCTGTTAATCTGTGTTCTCTGCTATATGATGCATGCAGCTACTTCAGTTTTGGAGTATAAGTGTCTGCTCTGTGTGGGAGAGGGATTGTTAGAACAGGGTTATTAATTCAAGTAAGTTAAACTTGATGTTTTTTTCTGTTTCAGCAATTTGGGAAAAACACAGCCAGAACTTGCTAAAGTTCTGCCAAAGGTGGAAAATAACACCAAAGGGTTTTCCTGGGAGTTTTCTGTAAATAAATTGGCAGAGTGAACCTTATAAAAGCCATCCTGGGGAGTAGCTGCATACAACTGGGGCAGAGTTTCATCCCTTGCAGCATGCGTCCACAGATGGCTGGTCCATGTAAGGAACAGATATTGAACGAGAGAAATCTGGTCTGCTCTGTGTTTGTCCCCTTCAAGCCTGCCCTGTTGAAGTGACCAAAACCGGCTGGGGTTCCTTCTGAGCTGGCTTTTGTCAGACTTTCCAGGAGATGACACTTCAGGTCTCAAATTTGCGGAGGGGTTTAATGGTTTAATAACTTGTGCTAATGGTATGGAGCAAGGAAAGAGCCTAGTTTGGAAAGATCCAGCTGAGTCTGAGAGACTGCTTCAGGTGGTGACCAATTTGTCTTTATTGCCCCTCAGCCTGGAGACTTGTCCACAGTAGTAGATGGTTCTTATTCTGATGGGCATCTTCTGGAGATGCCTGGTTTTGGCACTTGCTTTTTGCCTAGTGGTCTTTTGTGCTTCTTTCCAGCCTACCAGGTGTTAAAAGAGAACTTATGGGGTTTTTTCCATGCTAAAGATAAAGCTCCTTGGTTGTCTGTGGTTGTGCTGCCTTTGTAGCTTCGAGAACTGCATCTCTTGGGGTTTGTTGTTATTAAGTGCAGGGGAAGGAGCTGGTGTTGTCTCTCGCCCTCTGTGTGTGCTTCCTATTTGAAGCAAGGATTAATTATCCACTGAGAGCTTGGCCAGTGCTCCGCAGCTGTCCTCCAGGGCTTCAGCTTGGAGAATGCCAGGTGGAATCTGGGGACAAGGAGCTTCTGTGGCATGAAATGCTGAGTCTACAGCTCCAAGCTACTAACGAAAGAGTTTAAGCTCACTACAGAGGAGGTGCTTGGTCAGAGCAGCATGTTCCAGTGTGCTTTTATCACTTGGCTAAGGCTGTAGAGCAGACTGACTGTAAAAATAACCAGATGGGAGGATAAATGTATAGCCCAATGCAGCTTGAGTAACAAACTGCTCTGCAGCCAGCTACCTGCTAAAACCTGTATCACTTTTGCATTAAGTGGAAGTGCTACAGCAAGGTGTTAAACTCTGTTTTAAGAAGGTAGCCAGGTCACTGCTGTTCATACACTGTCTAATCCAGCTTCTTCCTAAAGCTAAGTAGATCTTAAGCTCTGACTAATCTTCTTTGAAGCATGAGCTGGTACCATTATCCTGCAGCAAGCTCCATGCCACTATCTCCAGCTTTCACTGAATGTAGAGGTCTAGGTTAGCTTAGATCTAGTTGTTGTGGATTTCCTGAGCAAATAACTCCAACATTTTCACACTTTATGAATGTAGGACTGTGGCCAACAGTGCTTCTCAGACTGGAGGACACAGTATGAGGCTGCCTGAAGTACCCTGGGAACTCCTGTATTGGGCTAGTACTGACTGCCCATGTTATCTACTAGCCAGAAGGAGGAAATAATTTTTTTAATGTTTTAATTAAGGGATATCTGAAAGCCAGAATTGCAGGGAGCAGCTTTGCCTCTTATTCACTGTCATTCCTGATCCTAGTAAAAACTGAATAAGCTTGTTGGGAAGGAAGAGATTAATGTTTTGGTACTTCTTCTAACCACCTCTTGAATGTCTTAGGCTCTTTTGAGAACCTAGAGCTAGAAACCTATGAATGTACATACATATGTGCAGATACATATGCATAATGTATATGACTGCAAGAGAAATTCTATGGCTGTCTTTCAAGTGCAGCTGGAGTTCTGTTTAGGTTTAACCACTGCTAAAGCTACTTGCAGAGCCTAAAAAGACTCCTGACTTACAGAGAAACTGTATTTGGATCCAAACTGTTCTTTAGTTAAAAAAAAAAACCAAAAACAAACCCTTGATGTTTCAGTATGTCTGATCTTAAGTGGCACTGCTAAAGGGGTTTGAGGTGACCATAATTTATATTCATCAGCATGGCAAGGCAGCTGTGTGTCATTGGGCACTAACAATTAACTTGCATAATATACTCTTAGTGTTTAATTACAAAAGTGCATAAAAGATTAGCCTGGAAAATTAGCTGAATACTGTCAGTTTTCAACTGTTTCTTTGGCAGAGAAGGTAGATGAGTGGCCACCCATCCTGCAGAGGAAGAAGATGCTTAAAAAATAAAGTGGAAGGTATCTCTGCTGTTGCTAGCGAACAGCTTCTTGGTGGCTTCTGTTTGTCCCTGAGCACCTGGTACATGTGTGTGGCCTGTGATGGGGATTTATTCCAGCAGCTCAAGTGGCTGAGGGCCAGGACTGCAGGGAGAGCGGAAAAAGTGACTTGGTGTGTCCTGAAGGCTCAGCCAGATAATGGAGCATGTGGTAGTTGCCTCTGAGCTGTGTGTCTCTAAGCTGGTAATGCTGAGGTGGTCTTCTATGCTACAGCCAGCCCTGCAGATCATAAAGGTCTTCAACAAGAGAAGTTTTTTTCTGTGTAGCTTAAGAGGTATGGTTTTTTTCAATGGAAATAAACATAGCTCTGTGTGACCAGACCAGATACAATGAACCTTTCTGTCTTGGTTGTGTTTAGCTGACTGGACACATACAATAATGATTTTTCAAAAGGAGACAAGCATACATAATCAGCAGGACACAGAGGGCCTTTGAGTTAGACGGACAAGTACAAATGTGGTCTTACCAAAATCCCTCTCTCCATAGCAGCAGTTACCTCTTGCTCAGCATCACCTGGGCGCATGAGAAGGGATGAAGGAGTGATACACCCTTGTGTAACAAAGCAGTGCCAGGCAGCTTGCTGCTGCACTGTGTGTGTATAAATCAAGTAATATTTATCTACATACTGTTTGGATGGGGAAATGAGTCTAGCAAGCTGGTGATGACTCCTAATGCTCAGGAGCAAGGCTGCACAGGGTGATCTTTGCTCTTCTTTGGAAGACTGAGGGGTGGTTCTCATAACCCCAACCTCTTTCCTTACATTCATTAGTCCTGTGCCTTGGAGGTAAGAGCAGCCCACTTGTGAAACTGGGAACATTCCAGTGAAAGCATGTGAAGCTGTTGATGGTTGGAGGCTTCTTGCAGTAGGGTTTGACACTGTCAGTGACAAGCTGCCTCCTGTAACTTGGGGGAGGACCTTGCCAGAGCTGTGTGATGAAGAGCTGTTGGCTGTGTGCATGGGACTTGTGTGACCAGCTGTCCTGCATGTGATGAGTGGGGCCTTGGATGGGATAGTCTGCTGTGGAGTGATGGTGCAGCGAGCCCAGGACTGGGAGACACCTGCCTGGAGGGAGGTGGCTGGGAGCAGGCTGCTCTGAGGTCCTCCATCTGTCCAGCAGCCTGGGCTGTGTTACTGGAGGCAGCGGAGCCTGCCAAGAGCAGGCTGTCAGCATCACTGACGGGCTCCTGGTTCAGCGCTCTCTTGGAAACTCGAAGTACACAGTGATTATACACATGAAACTTTCTGGAAGTGCCTCCATGGTGCAGCAGCATAAACACCATGCTGATGCAGCAGTGCTGCTGTCTGTCCCCCCAGAAAGGCCACAGCCCAAGGAGCTCGGAGGACATGACACTAGTGCAGCCCTAAAGCCTGCTGTGTTGCACTCTGCAGACCCACCTGGTTCTCTGTGCAAGTTCTTTGGTTTCCTTTTCTGTCAGTGCACAGAACAGGGCTTGCCATAACAGGCCTGAGCCTTCAGACTGGCCCTGACAAGCATCAGTCCTGGGCTTGGTAAAGGGCAAACAGGTTGATCCTCACCATATGCTTGCAAGTCTGATGCCTGCTAGGGAGAGCATATCACTCTACCAGTGGAGTGAGAGCTGGGTAAGGTTTGTCTTGGGCTTCAGATCAAGGTTTGGTTTTGTCTGGTGTTAGACTTCAGATTGAGTAGGCTAGGAACAGTAAAGTAGGTGAAGGGATACACCCCAAGCAGTGTAAGGGAGGGATCTGCTCAGAACTGGCTGTAGGTTAGCATCCCTGGAACTTGTCACCCACTTATCTATTGACCCAAGGCCTTAAATGTGTATGGGTATGTGTAATCTTGGTTCCCTTTTTCCCTTTCTAGGTTTTGCACTCTGGACTTGTCAGCCTTGCAGGCTTCTGGGCACATCAAATCTCAGCTATGAGTAGATCAGTGAGATTTAACATCTGTGTGGTCACTTGCAGCATCCTGCTCTTGTCCTCCAATCTACCATGCCTTGCATCTCAGCCACAGGAGGAGAGTGACATGACAAAGGTCCAGCATGGCACCTGGGCAGGGAATGATGTGGAAGATGAAAGGACAAGCATGATGAACTTAAATAACCTGGGCCCTTCTGAGCAGATGGTCTCTGAAGAGCCATGTGGAGTGTCAGCCAAGCCATCTGAGATGTCCTTAAATGAAGCTTTCACTGCAGAAGGAGAAACGCTGCCTGTGAGCCCAAGCCATGTCATCCCAGACAGCCAGGGCCTGGGTGCTCACACCTCTGCTGTGGCAGTGGCTGCTGGAGAGGAGGATGAGCTTGGTCCCAGGCCGTCGGAGCTGGATGAGGAGGATGAGTTCAAGGCCATGCTGACCACAGCTGTGACCACGCTGAACCCTGCTGTCCAGGAGGAGTCTGTTGGTGGCCCCGTTGGTGAGACCACCACAGAGGGTGGTGTTGAAGTAGAGCACAGCTCTTCCAGCCTGTCAACAAGCCCCCTTTTTGGGACAACTGAGGAGGAGGAGGAGGCAGGGAGCAACCCGCACCCCTCAGCTGCACCCCAGCTCACACTGTACCCCAGCTCTCCCAGCTGGGAAACAGCAAGTGACCATCTTGTCATCCCAACTCCCCAGGCTCTTGGCATGACCTCTGAGGTGGGAACACCAAGAGCCCGCACAGGGAGCCCTCTGAAGCTCCTGGCTGTGCGAGCATCTGTGGCTCCAAAACATCCCCCCGTAGTGACCGAGGCCTCCCCCCACCTAGAAGCAGGGACGAGTGTTGGGCAAGGAGAGCTGCCTGCCACAGCTGGCACTGTCACCATCCACCCTGTGGACACTGTGCCACCTGACTGGGATGACACAAAACAGGGGGACATGAGTCAAGGGGGAAGCACATCTCATGAGGAGGTAACAGAGGACCTGAGGGCAACAGAACCATCCCAGACCCCACCGGGAGGTATGGGGGAGGAGGATGTAACAAGAGTGCCACCATCCCCAGTGTCCCCTCCACCAACTCCTGAGCTTGCCAAGGAGACCAACTGCACAGCACCAGTGCAAGAGGAGGAGTTGCCAGCAGCTTCCACAGGCAGCAGTGATGCTCCCCACACTGCGAACCTGATGGATGTAGACATGGCTGATCTCAACTCGCTGGAAAATGTAAATGCAGTCACAGCAGAGGAGGGGAAAAGCATCCTGCTGTCACAGCCAGAGGCTGCTGTGGTGACAGATACACAGTCTGATCTCTCTCCTACTTTGGAAAGCTCATGGAAAGGTAAAACTTGCCTGTTACAGACACTTGCCTCTAAGTGTAGGTTTAAGGGGGATGCTCTTGAGAATCTGTGCTTCCTGTCAGGGAGATAAAGTGGAGAAAGGTGTGATCTTGATACCTGCAATAGAGGTAGGACACCTTTTCACAGCCTGCCCACCCTCCTGGAAATGCTTTAGACCTCGGGGGGGGCAAGAGCCAAAGCAGGTAATTCTCATCTGTAGAGTACTGCTTGGCCTTGGCTGTCCTGGACACAATGTTCCTGCATACAGGCAGGCACAGCCTGGAGTGTGGTACCCTGTCCTGACTGTAGGTGAAACAGCTGTATTGAGCTGCCTCTTCTGTTCCTCAGGCTGAGAAAGGGTGACTGTAATAGCCAACAGGAAAGCTGAGACTGGGAAAACTATGGCAGCTGAGCCTGGGATTGGTGGGTGTACTTGAGGATGGAGATCTCTGTAGAGGATTGAGTCTCAGCAGCAGAGACTTGCTGCTGCACTGTGTGTGTACAAATGCAAGTAATATTTGTCTACATACTGTTTGGATGGGGAAATGAGGAGTCTAGCAAGCTAGGATGATTCCTGATGCCCAGAAACAAGGCTGCACAGGGTGATCTTTGCTCTTTGCAAGACTGTTAAAAAAAAAAACCAAAAACAACCCAACCTTCTTTTGTTAATGTTCTGTGTGGTGTACTACCAAAGCAGGGGCTTCAGTTTTGGCACTCACATATGCAGTTGTGGGCAACAGCTGTAGTCTGGTTGTAGGCATCTTGCCTTGAGACCTGTGTAAATCTGCTTTGAATAACTCTGTCCTGTGTCTCTCCTGGGACTAGGGAAGGAGTCCAGCCTCTGACCCACTGGATAAACACTTTCCCCCAAGTGTCCCTTTGATATGGAGCACCTTTGGGTCCTTGCACTAGCTTGCTCTGAAGCCCTGCAAAATGGGGTAATAATTCCAGGGGGGTTTAATTAGCATCTAGAATCACTTGGCTCTCAGCTGCTGGCTGTGGACACTTGTAGTCAGTGCAGAAGATGCAGAGGCAGTGAGTGCCTGAATGCTTCTTAAATCTAGGAATAGGTGAGCTGTACTGGTAGCTTGTGAGTAATAACATTTGTGACTCTGAGGATGTTCAGATTAAAATTTCTGTCCAGAGCTCTGTGCTGTCCTTGAACAAAAGCTCCTGGTGCTGTCTCCCCCCCCCTAGAATGAAGCTGTGGCCAGGCTCTGCCCAGTGTTTGTGTTAACTCTGTTACCAGCAGGTGCAAATCTTCCTCCCAGACAGCCTGCCACAGGCTGGTGGTGTCACCCTGTACTGTACTTACCTGCAGAGATGTCACCTTCAGCCTAGTGACAGTGTTTCTGCTCAGTGTTTAAAATGCAGGGAGAATGCTAAAAAAGTTTGGTCAGGTATTGGGCAATGACATGTTCCTAGGCTGATGAGGAACAGGAGCAGGGGTTTAGGACTCTGGTTTAATTGCTGGGCATCTTTGATCTTCCTTCTTAGGCTACAGAGGCAAAAGGACAACTTTCCTTCGCTGCATCCAAAAGATGCAGCTTTTGCTGTAAAAGAAAAGCTAATTGCATGCTGGTGCTGAAACCTGATTAATTTCTACATGAATTTATAAGCACTTGACTTGTCAGCAGGTTCCCTTTCTGCTGCTTCCCGGATGTTGGGGAAACACTATCAGTAAAACTTGTGCAACAAAAATAAACCCTTCCCTAAAGCTCAAGTCTTGTAGCCATGAGAGCTGGCTACTAACAGCACTGCTCTAGCAGCCTCACTTGTTTTGAATGGTATTTCCCACTGTGGGCCTGCAGTGCTGTGTTCCCATGGCATTGCTCCCCAGTGGGCCCTTGTGTCCCTGAAGGGGCAATTAGGGAGATGAGGACTGATCCTGCTGCTTTCATTCCTGTTATGCATGCTCTTACATCTGCACTGCCCTGATGATACTTGGCTGGCCTTGCGCTGTGGCTCTGAAGGAAATGCATGGAGCTGTATTTCTTCAAATATCTGCTCTGTTGCTGTCAGCTGTCCCGTGAGTTGGTACTGACACATGTTCTTGCTGTAGGTGTTATTCAGGAGGTGACTACAGTTGTCCAGGAGGCTGATGCTGCTCTGACAGTTGTGACACCGGTGCCTGGTGCTACCCAGGGAACAGGAGCTGTGAGCCTTCCGCAGGAAAACAGTGGGGAGGACACCCGGATGCCAACTGCTCCTAGTGCCACGCAGATGCTGGTGGCAGCTGGTGCTTCCTCTATGGCGAGTGCTCCAGATGTAGAAGGTAGGGTTCTGCTTCAAGGACTGGGTTCTGCTCTGCATGAGATGGTGCATCTGAAACCAGTACCAGTGCTTGGACACCCAAGTCTTAGTGCACAGCATCCATATTCTAACTGACCTTTCTTCTAGCCTTCTGCAGGCTGCCCCTAGCCCGGGGCTGCCACTGCTTTCTGCCCATGTTACCAGACCCACAATGTTGAAATATGGCAGAATATGTTTTTGCCTCAAATAACAGTGGAGTAGAGACTTTAAAAAACATCACCCCCAAACAAACAATCCTCATGTCTGTCCTTGCTAGCAAGCTGACTTTTAATCTTAGACATTTAAGCCAGTTTTCACTTGTGGAGGGAGAGCTCTTCTGGAGCCCAAGGCAGTGGCAGATTGCTGATGCTCAGTCTGAAGGCTGAAAATGTTTTATCAGGCTAACATGGGAGCAGTTAGCAGGAGGGTAGACACCCTCTTGCAAGAGTCTGGGGAGCCCTTGTGTGGAAGCCTGCATTGATAGTTACTTCCATGGAGGAATGGTGGATTCTTAGGTTGATGTGGCTCACATGGAAATGCTGTACAGCTGCTGGCTTGCTGTCACTGTAGCAGGGATGTGTAGGAGCCTGTTTTCTTGACAGGAGTGTAGCAAGGTTTCCCTTAGCAGAACACTGGCTTTTAGCTTGAGTATGTTTGTAGTAGTAGGTAGCACTGTAATGAAACTGCTGCTGGGCAGCTTTTCTGGTAATTCTTGTATTGCCAGGCATCAAAAGGAAAAACCTATTTGTACCTCTTAGATTAAGGTCCCTTTGTAGGGGAGGGAAGGCTCTTTGGGCAGTTTCCACTAATTTGCTTCTGGGATTTAATTATAAATTCAACTAGTTTTTAACTTTGCAATAAACAATTAGATCTGTCACTTGGTTCAGATCTAAACCAGTGTCTCGGTGCTCTGATCTTGCCATGGGGTGGTGACTAGCAGTTCTCAAAGCAGTGGAAGTAAAACCTAGCTGAGTTCTTATGAAGAGGAACTTCTGTGCTGGCTGTCCTGGAGGAGAAGCTTTCATTACAGCAGGCCCACATCTTGAAAGAGACAAGAGTTTAACTATTTCCACTCAGTGAAGTTTTCATTAAGGAGTTTGTTCTTAAAGGGTGGATTTTTTAAAATATTATTGTGCCAATCTACTGCTGCTTCTTGTTTTCTGTAGATCTCTCAGATGTGGTCCTGGTCACCAGTGAGAAGGCTGTTCCAGCTCCTGGTGGGATGTCTGCTACCCAGTCTGGACAGACAGAGGAACCATCCAGCAGAACTGTGGTTCTAGTAACTCCAGCATCAGTGGCATCTTCTGTCAGGAGGACAGCTCTTCCATCTGTGAGGAGGATCAGTACAGCTGTGACCTACGGGCTGGACCGCCTGGAGTCAGAAGGTACTGCTGATACCAAGGATAAGAGGCGGGCAGTTCCATGTGGAGTGGCATGCTTGCCTTGATGCTGAGTTTGGCACACAGTTATGTGCATATGTTATTGTTCCTAATAAAGTTGTTGAACAACCTGTCCCCCCCTGGGAGGTACAGGCAGCAAGCAGTGAGCAGTGTTGTGGAGGATGCTTGAAATTCAAGTGGCTGTGGTGGAAGGGATAGGGTTTTCCCTTGGAGAGGGAGCAGCAGTGGTATTGCTGTTGCAGTGGAGTCTGGCACTGCACACCTGTAACTGCTGGTGTGGGCATCCACTGCAGAGCCTCTGTACCAGGTAACACTTGTGAGAACATGCTCAGACGGCTGGAGAGCCTTTGGCACCCTACTGCTGAAATCCTCACCACGTGCAGAGCTCAGCATGGGATGGGCACCTCAATGCCCAGCTGGCTGAAACCTCGCCAGCACAAGGGATGCTCTATTTACACTCCCTGTGTGACACTTCTGGGAGAAGTGAAGGCTGCATCCCCTGTGAGATGCTCTTCCAACACAAAGCTACCTGCTAAGCTGCCATTCCATTGTGTTTTTTCCTCCAGTCTTCTCTTAAACGGCTTTTGCCCACTGCTAGGCCTGGGGTCTCTGCGACCTGACTGTCTTCAGACAGTTGGAACCCAGTGATGCAAATTCTGCCTGGTCAAGCAGCCATCGAGAGGGGGGATGTAGGTGAAGATCCTGCTCTGGAGTTGGTCTGCACCTCAGATGTGTTATCTTCAGCTCATCTGTGGTTTTTCCTGCAGTGAACTGTTTCACTTCTGCTTCTTACTCTTCCCTGCTTGCTCATCTATCCAGTTTTGTACTCCAGTGTCTGGACTGACACCACCTGGCAGGGATTAATCTTTCTGCCTGTTTTGCTCCCCTTCCTTTATACTGACCTTCTCTTGCATTTGTATTTTACTGCAAAGGTTGGCAGCCCTCCAGGGGTGGTATGCCAGATGGTATTTTTCTTCTGATTAGAGGTGGGGAGCCATAGACAACAGCTAATCAGCATCTTTTCTCTGCATGAAGCAATAACTCTCACTCCTATTTAGAGGGCAGCAGAAGCTTGGGAGCCCTTCCCACTGCATGTGTGAGGTGCTGCAGTTCCTGCCCTGTCAGACTTGCTGCTTGCTTTGAAGCCTTCCATCAGCTCTCTGGGCCTCCAGCTACAGCGCTTGCCCCTTGCCATCATGAGTCTTGCATGTATCTGGCAAGGATGTGGTGCTGATGATGGCAGAGTGGCAACGGGGGGAAGAAGGGCATGTGTGGAGAGAGAACCTGATCCTTCAGGCTGGGAAATAAGGTCTCTGCTTAGCAAGAGCAGTGTGATTCAGGAGGCTAAACTGTTTCTGAGCCCTCTGGGATCTCCTTTAGAAGCCTGGCTTTCTGCACAGGAAGATAAGAGGGATTTCTGTTTCAGCTGAGCATTGATCTCTCCCTATTTAATTGAGACTTTCTACATAGGCATTTAAAAAAAATCTTTCTGCTCTGACACAGGACTGCAGCAACTTTCCTGGGTTCCTACTGAGCTCTTATGCAACCACAGAACTGTTTTCTGTGCTCTTGAATATGCTCTGAGCTCCTCTAAGGGCAAATGTGGCCTGTAGCTAGGGCCAGCTTTACTAAATGATGACAACTCAACTAGAAGGCTGTGGGTTTCTTGGCTCGAGTATGGCAGTGCAGGTACCTGTCATCCAAGGGACATGGTGCTCTGTGCCGTGTGGTTTTGACAACTGTCACAGCTTTTGTGGTCTAAATTTCTTCTGATCAACCTAAACCTTAATGCAGTGAGCCAGATGTTTTCCTGAGGTTAGGGATCACCAATCCACATTTTGTAAAATGGGACAAATACCACTTGGGGATAGGCTTTCTGCCTGGGGATGTCACTGTCCCAGTTAAGCACAAAGAAAACTTTTGAGCTGTGACTCTTTTCTAGTATCTTTTTTTGTGTAATGGCAATTAGGGGGTACCACATCCTCATGGTGGAGTGGCATTTGGAAGCTTGGTTTCTGTTCCCCCCCTTAAAACTACAGTTCCTAGTGCTTACTCTCAGGCTGTACAGATGGTGCCAGATACAGGAGATTTGGGAGTGCTTTCCTGTGAAGCTACACCGAGCTCCAGCCCAGGGTGCTCAGGCTCTTGGGGGAGGCAAGGTCAGACATCACTGCTGTTGCAGGCACATGCTGGAGTCCCTCAGGAAGGATCCTGGCCCTTTGCAGGGAGACTGTATCTTGCTCACCAGTGGAAAGAGCTGAGGGAGCTTGGCTTGTCTCCGCTGCCTTCAGTGGGGTCTTGCTGACTTGCCTCACTGAGGGCATGGCTCATTAAATACAAACCCCTGCTGTTCAGCTAGCTCTGTTTCTTGGGGACCATATGTGCCAAACTGCTTTCAGTTAATTGCATCAGTATATTCACCTACCTGGCTTGGATGCAGAACTGTTTTTTTCTTTAAAAAAAAAAAATCAAATTGCACAGACAAACATGAGGTGCTTTGAATATGTCTCTAGATGAGTTTATCCTCCTCTGTAGTGGACTCTGGAGAGATTAGCTGGGTAACAAATATCCTCCTACCTTGACTCTGGTGATAGTGATTCTTCTTGCCCTTCCTAGCTGGAGAAATCCTGTAAAGGGATTATAGGATATGGGGACAGGACACAGCAGAGGATGAGCCTTACTTGTCTGGGAGACTTAATTATAGATTTTTGTCCCTGTGCCCAGAATTTGGCTAGCTCTATAGCAAGCTAAACCCTGCAGCTTTCTCTGTGGGGCTTCTAGGGTCCAAAGAGATAATCTAGTTCAGCTTGCCTGCTCAGCACCACTGTGTAAGGCTCCCAACACATTTTTAAAAGTAGCTCATCTTTTAAAAGAAACCATGTTCCTTTTTAGACTAGATTCCTTTGCTATAACATCTGCCCTGGTAGGTATGGGCAGGGATGGCTGCACTCCTTCAGCATGGCAGCATTTGGCAGGTAGAACTTGCCAAAGTGTCAGGTAGCCTGCCACATTCCCTCCTCTGCAAGATCCTTGCAGTGTTTAATTGAAACCTGGTGGACAGAGCACAACAGCAGCTGGTTCCTCTTGGCTGTTCCTTAAGCAGCTCCTGCCACTGCTCCATATGGGATGTGATCCAGGGATGCACTGAGACTAGGCAGGAGGTGGCTTAATGCACTTCCTATGAGGATCTTGAAGGTCATGTCATCTTTACGTGATAATCCTAAACCAGCAGTTAGTACAGAACTAGCCTGCTGCTAAGAGCAATGCCTCGCCCATCACTACCTGGGTCAGAAGCCGGTTTGGTGGGAGCAGCTTACAGCACCATTGCTGTGGCTGTTGGTGAGGGTGGGTCTGTGCCTGTCACTGCAGGCTCAAGATTTAGTTTTCTTGTGTGCCCCCCACCCTGCCTGCACAGCAAAAATACAGCTGGAATAGCTGGAGAGTAGTGATTGTGGAGCAAGGCACATGGGACAGAATGGGAAGATGTCTCAGCACTCATCAAACCATGCAAAGATTAATCTTTTCTGACAGGTAGGGCAGATGTCACTGTGTTACCTTCCAAGGCTGCCCAGATGCAGTGGGAACAGCTGCCTCTTGATGGACTGGTGTGGCCCTCACTGCATCCAAGCTCATCAGGAAAACAGTTTAAGCTCACTGTTGCCTGCTCCCTGCAGCTCAGTAAGCTCTAGCTTGGCCCACTTCAGCATTGACTCGGGATTTAGAGATTGTTTACCTGTGATTTTTGAGGTGAAAGGAAGAACAAATAACCTGGCTCTTGCTACTCTCCAGTAGGTGATTTGAAGAGAACTAAACCCAGTGCTGTACATTGGGGTTTCTGATGTATCTATCCTATTTTTTGCATACCCCTTGCCCCCTCCCCAAATCCAAAACTACTCTGCAACAGTGTGTAAACCCTAAGGCTGGTTCCTGTTCAGTTGTCTAGGCTTGCTTCAAGCTGTTGTTGCTGGGGGTGAGCTGCTTAAACAGTTGAGCTGTTGCGTAGGCTGCTGGATGTGGAGAGTGCTTAGAGCTTTTATAAAAGCAGGAGATGCTCTACCTGTTGTACAGTGTCAGGGACAGTCGATAGCTCTGTGAAAATGGGCAACTTAATCTCAGTTGCTCTAGAGGGAGTTCTTAACCATGTAGCTCTTGAATTTGAAGTGTTCCTGATTAATCAGCCTCTCAACATGCAGCTGGCAGAATCCTGGTCATTAGGGTGGAGGAGTAATCCAGGGCTGAGAGGTGTCTGCCTAGGAGAGCATGGTGCTTTTTCCAGTACTCCGCCTGGTTAACTGGTGTGTCCCCACCTAATGCAGCATTTGGCTGTGGAGGAGCCCCGGGATGGACAAACACAGCTGGCACTGTCCTTGGGATCAGCAAACCCAGGGTCCTGCAGTCATGGGGGACCTCCTCTCTGAGCCTTGGCTGTGGGGTTTACCGTGTTTGCTTTGTCTGCTGTGTTAAAGGCTGTTCCAGAACAGTGCCTCTATGAAGCCTTGGACTTTCTGACCTAAACATGAAGGATATTTCAATAATATCCACTTGTCTTTGGATTGAAATGGTTCCTATTCCTCTGTCCTCTGTGCTCAAGTTTACCCTTCCAAGGAAACCGCAGCTTAACTACTTTCAGTAAGAAGAGCTCCCTTAGTCCTCTGTTCTCTGCTTCTTTCCCCTGCATCTTGTTCTTGTACAGAGTCACCTAAGCTGCATGTCATACTTCAGAACTGAAGGCAGTAGTTGCCTTTTTTCAGAAAATACTTCAGAACTTGTAACCGTTTACATAACTTTATAAAAGACCCTTCAAATTCTCCTGACCCTTTTCTTCTGAGCTGTGTCACAGTACAAAGAGTCATCTTTTTGATGCAGGGAGTATTTTTTCTGAAAATCAAGGATCTGTCTGGGATTGCTATTTGTACCCTGACTGTATGGATTAAGGCCTGCCTCATTAAATCTCTGCAACCCCATTAAAAATTTAAATGAGGTTG